TAGAAGCCTCTGCTCCTGAATTACAAAATCAATCTAATATAGGACATTTTATTACTGCCTCCTACCTAGTATTTTATTCTAATATATGCTGAGTAATTTGAAGTTGTAGTGGGTCACTTCCTAATTAACTTCATATGATATTACATTTTATATTTGTGTTGTAGATGGACTCCCCAAATGGCGGATTTCCACGGAATCTTCCAGAGTGTACTCCTAAAATACAGGGGTTTCCACAGAACTTTCCAGAATGCACTCCTGAAATGGAGGGTTTCATCAGAACTTTCCAGAGAGCACTGCTAAAATGGAGAATTTCCAGAGAGCTTTCTAGAAAGCCCTCCTAAATATGAAGGATTTCCACAGAACATTCCAGAAGGCACTATTAAAATGGGGGCAATTCCACTGCGCTCACGCCCTAAAAAAAAGAGAGATTTCCACAGGACTTTCCATTGCGGGCACGCGACAGTGGAAGACTTCATATAAATAGGAGTGGACACCGTCAGGGGAGAGGGGTCCCCGAGGAAGAAGGCACGGACGTGCACCTGCGTTATGTACCTCTCCCTTCTTTTCCTCCTGACTTCCCATTCCCGGACTTCCCATATCCTTGTTTGTTGGCTTCGGAAGATGGTGTCCTGTGATCCCGAACACAACCTTTTGGAGATTGACTGAGGCTCCCCTGGGGATCTCCTGGGTACACGGGATGCATACAGGCCAACGCACCTTGTTTTTCTCATTATTAATCCTTCTTCTTGCAATGCTCTGTCCTAGTAGAACCCAGGAAGTGGGGAGGAAAACCATTTCTTCTCTGCCTCCGGCTCTTCCTTCCTGTCAGTTTACAGATGTTTTTCATGTGGACACACATGTTATGATTGAGATGCGAGGTGTCCCCCAAAAGCTCATGTGTGACACGCTGCAAGAAAGTTCAGCCGTGAAATAATTGGGTTATGAGAGGTGTAACCTAGAAGTGGATTAATCCACTTGAGTGGACTCACTGGGTGGTGACTGCAGCAGGTGGGGTGTGGCTGGAGGAGGGGGTCCCTGGGCTGTGCCTTTGGGGTCTCTGTCCTGTCCCTGGTGAGCAGAGCTCTCTCTGCTCCCTGGTGCCCTGTCCTGAGCTGCTCTCCTCCTCCAGGCCCTGCCGCCATCTTGTTCTGCTCCCCTTGGGCCAGAGCCATGGAGTCGGCCACCAGGGACTGAACCTCAGAAACCGTGAGCCCCAAATCAACTTTTCCTCCTCTAAAATTGTTTTTCTCAGGTCTTTTATTCACTGCACCAAAAAAGCTGACTGAAACTATACATCTGCGTAGATAGAGATAAATCACACATGCACATGCTACATTTTTTCTACATCACTACAATATAAAATGATAAGAAATAAAATATTTGCATTCACGCATCATTGATTTTTTTGTGTGTGTGTGGTGTAGGATGGAATGTAAGATGGAACGCACTCGGCCCCTGTGATGATCTATACCAAGATGCGTGGATTACAACATTCCCCTCCCAATTCTTCCGCACAAGACTCCCCAAGTAAGGGCCCTTCCCTTTGAAACCACGTCTCCACCATCAGCGATGCAAGATGAACACGGATTTAAGCAACTCAACTCGCAGAGAGACCCCCAAAGAATGGTCCCATCGCCCCCCGCCCTCCACCCGACATCCAGGATCCACAGATGAGACATGACTGTCCAGTTCTCCACTCTCTTAAAATCTGGCACCGTCGGGTAGCCATGCTCCGTAGAAAGCGCCAACAACACTGACTTCTTTGGAAGACCCTGGGTCTCTGCCTTAAAACCGTGTGCTGTATTAGACATGCCTCTGAGGTGTCCCTGAGATGAGATTCAGGCTGCAGGGTCCTGGTAGGGTCACCTCACAGGTGACCCTGAGTCCTTCTAATGAGTCCACGGCCAAAGGAAGATGGTGCCCGATGCCCACCACCTGGGCATCCCCTGGGTAAGGTCCTGGGCGCTCATTTCCCACTTAGCCATTACCTTCCATTTGATTTTTCTCCTTTATCTTCTCCTGAGACAACACCGTAATCAGCCTTCACTTCTGTAGCTGGAATTAACAGATTGACTCTAAAATATGCTTCCTTTTATGTGCACTGGACGCCCTCAAATATTCTCACCAGGGATCCACGGTCTACACGAAAAAGACCTCTCAGTACCACCGAAAAATTCTCATTTTCTCTTGCTTTGTCTGAAAACTCTATTTTAATAACATCCAACATTTTTTTTTAAAAAAAAGAGGGGGACAAATTAGAAAATCTGAGGACAAGATAAAAGCATTTTCCTGATGATCTCTTAAGTCTTCATCCACTTCAGCGGAGGGAAGAGATTTAATATGCGGTGTCAGGGAACGCCGAGTTCTGAATTCTGAAGCGCGTTAAAATAGCCCAGGAGAACGGGCTCGGGTTGGGGAGACATAATGGGTATTGTTAGTAGGTTTCTAGGAGGCGCCGTTCAACTCGGCTACACTGAAAGACTCCCACTTTTCATCCCCACGACGTTAAGAAAGGATAATGGATGCTGTATTCGTTTATCATGAATTAATCATGAACCTTTTCAGCCACATATTTTTAATTAGCTACAGACTCTGTCAATTTTTTTCAGGGCACTCTGCAGCTGGGTCTAAAGAATGTCAATCTCCTTTGGAAGCTAAAATCACTCTATGTGTATATATATATATATATATATATATATATATATATATATGCGCATTTGTCTGCAAAATTTATAGCTGTTTTCCAAATGGATAAAAAAAAACAACTAAAATAAAATTACTTTGCAAGTGCTGAAGGCTTCCAAAGGCTAGATTAGAAGTCGAGGCAGGATCTTGTAAGATCAATGACCTTTAGAAAATAAATGACCCTTGAAGAGAGCCGGAAAGTTTTTGGTTTCCAAAACAGAGAAAAGGAACCCGGAGATCCTTTTGAAGAACAAATTGCAGCCATGACAGGAGCCCATGCATCTGTTAAGCTGCTCAGCGTTAGGAAGGAATAGAAGCCCAGAGGATGCACCTTTTTAGCCACAGAGGATGGACCTTCTAGAAGGAGAATCCTCAGCTGTCGGTTTAAATTTAACAGGGGAAAAATATGTGCTAGGAGGTCACTGTCTTTTGGGGTAGTTATGAAGAATACAAGCAATAATAAGTGTGGTGAGGATGTGGGGGGAAAGGCTCACTCATACGTTGCTGGTGGGATTGCAAATTGGGGCGACCACTCTGCAGAGCAGGATGGAGATTCCTCCAAAAACTTGGAATGGAACCACCATGTGACCCAGCTATCCCACTCCTCAGTCTATACCCAAAGGACTTAAAATCACCATACTAGAGGGACACGGCCATGTCAATGTTTATAGCAGCTCAACTCACAGTAGCCAAGCTGTGGAACCAACCCAGGTGCCTATCAACTGATGAGTGGATAAAGAAACTGTGCTATCTATACACAGTGGAATATTACTCAGCAATAAAAAAGAATAAAATCATGGCATTTGCAGGTAAATGGATGGAGTTGGAGAATATCAAGCTAAGTGAAGTTAGTCAATCCCCAAAAAACCAAATGCTGATTGTTCTCTCTGATAAGTGGATGCTGATCCATAATGGGCGGGGAGGGGGGCTGGAGGAATTTGATTGGTCAAAGGGGAGGGTGGGGAGGGAAGGAGGCATGGGGGCAGGAAAGACGGTGGAATGAGATGGACACCCTCACCCCAGGTACATGTACAACTGCACATGTGCTGCGACTCTGCATCGTGTACAACCAGAGAAGTGAAAAGCTGTGCTCCGTTTGGGTACCATGAATCAAAATGCATTCTGCTCTCATGGATAACTGATTAGAACAAGTAAAAAAAAAAAATTCTTATTCTAAATCAGATCCCTGAAAATAGAAGTACCCCAAAGATCCAGGAAGGAGGAGGCGAAGCCGCAGCCTCCTGCCCCCCCAGAACAGGTACCCCCAGGTGGAGCACCAAGGACCTACCTCACAGGGTGCGTAGGGAGGTGCCCCACGCATTCACCCGTGGCTCAGCAGCACCCTGGCCCGCCCAGGACATGCCACTGAGACTTGGCCCCAACTCTGACAACCCCAAGCATCTCCAGGTGGTCTCCACCCTGGTGGGGAAGAGCCACCTACCACCAGTGACCACAAACCCCACGCTGCCTCTGGATTTTTAAAACCACCCACTTTCCATCCCCCAAGGTTCATCCAAAACTTTTCCGCTTTCTAGAACCATCCTAGGACACCACCTTGTCTCTTCATCCTCATTTTGATTCAGAACCAAGGGGAGACACCAGAGACACAGTGACTTGGTGGGCTGCGACCCCACGCCAGGGCTCTCCGAGGGCAAGCACGGTTCTGTCTTTGGGGACCTTTCCATACAGACTTGAACCTGTCCCCTCTGAAGCCATCTGTCTGCTCCGTTTCTCTGAGCCTGCTGCTACAGGAGGGTGACCACAGGGTCCCCGCCAAGGTGGCTCACCTCGATGACATCGTGACATAGAGCTGCCGATTATTTAACAAAAGGTCTAAAGATTTTGTTTTGATCTATTTATTGTTGCGGAACCGGGAATTGGACCCCGGGCACTTTACCACCGAGCCGCACCCCAGCCCTGGTTTTGTTCCTGACGTCTGCACACATTTGGGAGCCCTGGGGGTGGACCCAGAGCCCCACACAGGCTAAGCACAGGCTACAGCCCAGCTGCCCACCTGGAGACCTTGCAAACCCTGCGCATCTCCTCCCACCTGACCCTGCACACATTCACTGCCACCAGAGGAGTCCCTCTGCCTACAGCCGTGAGCCTGCCCTGAGCCTAGTGGGTGAACGGCAGCGCATGCACCAAGAGCCTTCCCTCTGCACCCTGCGTCTGCCACCTTTGCCGATTTCACCGGTCTTTCAAAGATCCCAGACGTACACCGTGTCACATGCACCTGGGGCGAGCCAGGCACCTAGCAAGCCCCGGGTGCTTCTCCGGGACGGGCGACCCACACAGGCAATGCGCTCACTCACCTGGGGCTGGATTTCCGACAGTCTCCAGCACTCGTCCTCCAAAGATCGTGAGGAAAGGAGATCACATGTGCTGGGCTGCGCTCAGCTGTCAGTGGCGATCGGCCAGCGGCACCAGGCTCACCCTGCAAATTTGTCCAAAAGAAGAAAAATTCATGAACTTCAAAAACGTGTGCGAGATACTCACATGAGGTGAGCTCCCTCTTGCGTAGAAGTTTCCTCGGCCTCAACTACTCTCTCTACTCTGTTTAAGTCTCCTCCATCCTCGGGCCTTACCTTCCAGCCACTGCCTCCAAGAAGTGCCCCCCACAGTGAATCCACGGAAAAACAGAGTCCCCCATGGTTGACCTTCAGACGACCTCTTTTCCCCTTGAGAGCAGATGTGTGTCGTTAGGAACGGGATGATCAGTTTACTGGGCACTGTTTTTAAACTAACGTGTACCACCATGCCATCTTTGATTGGCTCTGTGTACTGCATGTTTGTGCATAAGAGAGAGACAAAGATACATCTCTCCATATATACATATGCCATCTAGGGAGAGAGAGAGATAGATAGATGCATTGATAGATGGATGGAGGTGGGGATGGATGGATGGATAGATAGATGGATACATGGTTGCATGGATGGATGGATGGATGGATGGATGGATGCATGGATGGATGATAGAAATATAGATGGATGGATAGATGGATAGGTAGATGGATGGATGGATGGATTAATGGATGAATGGATAGATGATAGAAAGACACATGAATGGATGATGGATGACTGAATAGATGGATGACTGAATAGATGGATGGATGGGTGGATGGATGGATGGATGGAAAGATGCATGGATAGATAGATGGATAGATGGATGGATGGATGGATGGACAGAAGGATGGATGGATGGATGGATGGATAGATGGATGGATGGAAGGATGGATGGATAGATGGATGGATGGAAGGGTGGATAGATGGATGGATGGTTGGATGGATGGATGGATGGATGGATAGATGGATGGACGGAAGGATGGATGGATAGATGGATGGATGGAAGGATGGATAGATGGATAGACGGAAGGATGGATGGATGGATGGATGGAAGGATGGATGGATTGAAGGATAGATGAACAGATGGATGGATAGATGGATGGACGAACAAATGGATGGATAGATGCATAGATGGATGGATGGATCGATGGATACATGGATGGCTGAATGGACAGACAGATGGATGGATAGATGCATGGAGGAATGAATGGATAGACACATAGATATCTCAGCATTATCTACATTGAGCATTAGCCTCTTGCTACAGGAATGACAAAGTAACTAGCCAGGCGCCTGTCTTCTGCCCACCCACCATGACATCATTTGGTAAGAATGGAATGGCATACAGGCAGAGACAAACAGTAGGATGAATCATGTCAATATATAAATATATGCATAAGAACTATGGATATATATTATGCTTTTCCATCATTCTTTTTTTTTTGTATGTGTGTGTGTGTGCTACTGGGGATGGACCCCAGAGCCTCGCACATGCTAGTGAAGTGCTCTACCATGCAACTGCACCCTGGCCTGACTTCCAATAACTTGGGGGTCATACGGGACATCGGCCCCAGGTCCCTGATTTCTCATTGAATTCTTCTGAATAAACATAGGGTCACAAATGATGGCCCATGGGACAAATCCATCCCACGACCAGACTCTGCAGCGAGTTCACCACGTTTCATGTTCCAGTGGTCAAAAAAATAACATCTGTGAGATGTGCAGAGTGTAAATCAAACCCTTATCTGGGCGTCCACAAATGAAAGGTCTTGGGACATAGTGACGTGCTATTCATTGACATGTCATCCACGGGTGCCTTTGGGCTCCGGTGTCCACGCTGGGTACTTGTGAGGGAGATTGCTCGGCCCGAAAGGGTGGAGATACTTACAATCTGCCCTTTGCAGAGAAGGCTTTCCGACCTCTGACGCGGATCCCTACCCACCAATCCAAAAGAGAGTTCCAAAGACGGCCCAGAAGGTGGCTTTGAACTTGAGGAAGAACTTTTTAATTTAAAGACCCTCCATGCGTAAGAGCTGACATTTCGACCAACACAAGCCCGTGTCCCCCACAGTGTGTGAACCCATCCGACCTATCGCTGATGCTTGATGAAATATCGTCCCGCTCTGCGGAACCTACCCACAGGAGAACATCTCGTTAGGGAAAAATCGCGACAGCATAGATCTGGGTAAATGTGGATCTTGTTTAAGATCCCAGCCACAATTTCTTAGCTTCCATCGGCATCCCAGAAACATGTCCCCCCCACGTGCAGAGGTGACATTTGAAGCGGCAATCCATCTTCCAAGAGTGCCTTTTCACATTAGATTCTTGCACAAATGGAATGGGGTGCTGTCGAAGCTGATCTTTGGCTTCTCGCTGCGGGGATGACGAGAATGTCTTTCTGCCCACCCACCACGACATCAGTTGATAAGACCGGGATTCAGCGGCCGTGGATCTGAACAATAGGGTGACCCTCTCTCGTGACCCATGGAAGATCCAAATATCATTTTCCGTTTGTTTGGCCCACACCTTTCGGTCTCAGAAAGGAGTTTTTTAGAGAGATCAGGGTGTGAGCTGTACTCACTTCTCGGTGCTTACCAGCCCCTGGTGCTGGACAAAGAAGAAGAATCACATCGAAATCGATGAAGTCACAGTCCCTGGCACAGTGGGGGGGTCAACGTGGGACCACACTGTGGCCATCCCAAGAATGTACCCACAAACCAACCCCCCCCCGCACCCCGGCAGTCATCACCCCACAATCTTTTTTCCTGGACTCAACCTAAGAATCATTGTGAAATAAAACACTTTGTCCTGATCACGCACACCACCGTGCTGAGGAAACAGCATCTTCGGGCCACTCGGCTATAATCCCTGAGAGATCCTAACAAAGGTCGAGGGGGCCCAAGTCCTCAAGGTCACGTTGAGAGTCTAAGGGCCTCTCCATGCTTCAGGAAAAATGCAAGATGGGTCAGAGATTGGAAAACGCCAACGCGCATGATCCTGAAAATATGATTTCCATATGCTCACTGCTCACTGTGCAAAGGAGAAGAATTCCTTGACCAGTATTTGGAGTCGTCCAAAGACTGACATATCAATACCAGGCACCCTGGGCTCAAAGAACAGCATTAAATAATAATGATAATAATAACAATAATAATAATAATAATAATTTTATTATTATATTTATAATTAATAATAAAAATAAATTTATCATTATTTTTTAAAAAATCATTATTATTTCCGGTCTTGTTTCCTTACCCTACGCTTTTTGGAAATGTAATATTTGCTCATCTTTTCCCCAATGCAAAATCCATAATCTAGTCTTCTGGCCAAAGCATTCAGAATTCCATGAAGCATCCCATGATACACATTTCCAGCCACTTCATATTTGCAATGCAGTGATTATGCATCACGATAACAGTCACGGTGTCTATCATGGAGCGGTGAACCCGTCCCACAGAGCAGGGGTCACCAGTGAGGGCCACCGTCTGCTTTTGTCGATAAAGTTTTATTAGAACACATTGTGGCCGCCTTTGGCTCCTGGATGTAGCCGTCCCGTCTGCCTGTAGAAATGTGGCTGCGTCTCTGTCTTGTGTTCCCGTCGGCCCGTGTGACTCCCTCTCTGGGTCTCATTTCCTGGTGTCGTGAGGACAGCAGTCACCCCGAGTCAGAGACAACCCCCACACCAGGCTGAGCTCATCGTGAATTTCCTGATTGCGTCTGTTAACCAATCGACTCTTCTTTGCCCCCCGCAAAACACGTGTTGAAATTTCAAGCTCACCATGAGACATTAGGAGGTGGGACCAGGTGGAAGCTCTGAACGGCCTTTGGGCTCTGCCCTCAAGGACCCTGCCGGCCAGAACATAGCCGCAGAAGCTTGCCATCAACCCTGGACTTCCGGAACCCAAATAAACCTTTTTGCTCAGTAACTAGTCCAGTCTTTGGTATCATGCGATCAGCAGCAGAAAACACAGCAGGAAGGCGCCCCGCCTGAGTCTGTGGAGAGACCTGCGTGGGACCGGAACCCACTGCTTCCCTCCCCGGCTCTGAGTGTCCACAGATGTTCTCAGCATCCGTCATCGGACCCCAGGGAGCCTCCGCGACCTGCACGCATTTAGTGCGTGTGCACCACACACGGGCGTCCAACCTCCCTCCCACCCGTGTCCGCAGAGCTGGGCTGTATTTGCTTCCCCCGTTACGGGTGACAGGTCCCCAGGGCTTAAGGGTCACAGCATAGTGCTGCAGTGTCTTGCCTCTTCTGAGCCACACAGTGGCCTCAAAGCTGTACCCCAGGTCTGGTCAGAGGCCCACTGCAGGGTAGAATCTCGCCAGGTAAGGCGCATCCATCAGCAATGGCCGGATACAGTGTCAATATGGAGCCATCATCCAAGGCACCACGTGTGCAAAAGCCCCACATCTTTTCCCTTCCACACAACACAGAGGTATTTAGCCCCCAATGTCCTCAGTGTCCACGGGAAATTCGGTCCAGGACCCCATGAGGATACCAAAACAGGGTGGGTGCGGTGGCTCACGCCTGTCATCCCACCTGCTCCGGAGGCCGAGGCAGGAGGATCGTGAGTTCAAAGCCAGCCTCCGCCAAAGCGAGGCCCTGAGCAACTCTGTGAGACCCTGTCTCTGAATAAAATGCAAAATAGGGCTGGGGGTGAGGGTCCGTGGTTGAGCACCCCTGGGTTCCATCCGTGGTACCCAATTCACATGTGGAAGACGTCTTCCCGGCATCAATGCACAGGACCAGTGGGTCTTATCTCAGCCTCTCAGATGACCTGCGGCTGATGCTCAAGGTCACAGGTAACTTGACAAATGCCCCAAACCCCACGGCTTATCCCCGATGCTGGCCTGAGCTCCTGACGTGCCAGGTGTGTGGTGGGGGAGCCCAGATCAGGGACTGGCCCCTCAGTCAAGGCCAAGGAGACGCTGGACAGTTAGCCGCGGAGACCTGGATCAACCCACCGGCTCACACCGTGCCCCTCACCCCAGTGCATTCACTTAGTTAAACTAACACGCAGTTGGGCTGTAAGCAACCTCCGGACGGACGCTGGATCTTTTTAATACTTTCCCCAAGAGCACACAAGC